CATGACCTGAGCGCAGTGGTTAACCTTGCCATCCTGGGCACATGACCCCTGACACCTCTAAAATCGAGTTTGTTTCAGCTTGTTAAAGATGGTCGAGGCTAGGAGATTCTTGTCGCCGAATTATTCGAATTCGTGGGCTCAGCGATCTACCACTGTGTGGATCTTCTTCCATCTACTCCGTACTCGGCCGACAGACCGGCCTAAAGTGGTATCCTGTTCCCCTTGCATCCCATCTTTCCCTTTTTCAGGTTCGAGGGGATAACTACTCCGATCACAGACTACTCAACAATGTCGTGAGTACGTGGCCAAGTAATTGTCTCGTTTTTCACTCCGTCGCGGCCTATGCTGGGCCACGGGCCTGATCTTCCAACCATTCAGGCTCATGTCAATGCTTTCGGGCATTTACAACGTTTCCCATCCTCCTTGGAACGTTTTTACAGAGCCGATTTCTAGCCTCTCACAACCTCGTTTTACTTGGCACCTTAGGATGCACCTCGAGCAAGTCATGCATGATCCAGCATTTGCATCTCGTATCCGCGGCCAAGTCACCCTGATCCCAAGGAGCAGGTCTCACAGGTGGTCCACTTGATCAGTTAGGCTTCCGGTACCAGGATGCACCATAATCTGGTCTTTGAGGCCAAAGGAAGGCCGTATCTTAGCTGCAAAAGCTGAATATTCGCTGTCTTCTTGATATCACACGCAAGCAGGTAGAACTTATAGCAATACTCCATGTAACCACCTGGTTTGTTTCAAGTCGGCAGCTTTTGAAGTTTTCATAAGTGCGTTTACTTTTGGATAATATTGCACTGCAATCGCCGTGGTGTTTCCTCAGCCAGTACCATGGCACCCAATCCATAGACAGCAATACTAGCCTTGTCTCAATGTTAGCTTAAGATAAGACCCGAGAACCTGGCGATTTTATTCTTTAATTGCTATTGAGGGCTTGAGGGAAACAGTCTTCATGATTCGAAACTCATAATACAGCAACTTAAGGCCGATGTTTAAATCCCGTATAACTTAAAATTCTAACTCCAAGATACAAAGAAAAGTGCTCCGCAGGGGAATTCCTCTAAACACCCATTCAACGACGCAAAGACCAAAAATACCCAGTCTTAACCTCCATCAATGTCCTTTCCGCATGGCAAAGACGCTCAAGAAGATACTCCAGCCGAACCCAACACAAACTGCCACCAAAACCCGAGAGCGCACAGGAACCCATAGGAAGTTGCAGACGGCGACTAATGGCCAGATATGCCAGCCAGCTTTGATGAGTGGCCAAAGTCGATTACGGATTACTTCCAGAACGAGGAAGGGGTGTGAAACACGTGCGATATTTGTGCAGATGAGAAAGACAGACCCGCTGATAGCAAGACCAATTGTTTGATCAAGAATCAGCTTCGCCAAAACGTTGCGCCAAATAAGATCCGGGCTGATATTGAACCATGTCCTAGTCGTTCCTCTCGTGTCATCGTCCTTCTTCTCCTCAACCTGCTTCGCATCCGCCTGAACCTGCGGCAGGATCTCGTTCGCCCTGATTGCGTGGCCAGTGGGGAAGCAGTCCTCCAGGATGAATTGGATGATGTTGCCGACCTGAGAGCCTATGAACCCATAGATAGCAAACTCCAGTACCTGCCGGGCATCAAAAGTCGATACGCCTGGTGTTCTGTAGTGAATGATGATCTGGGTGACCAGGTTTGCCGAGACCTTGATAGCTGTTGCCTGAAGGGCGAGGCGGAGATTGAGGGCGCGGACCATGGTGCGATGGCCCTGGGGACAAAGAAAGGGGGCTTATTACGTAGTCATGAGAGAGAGGGACAAACGAGTGAATGGAAAAGTGAGGCGGGGACAGGGACAAGGCTGATGGAGGTGGATGTTGGTGTGTGTATGTATTGGATCTGACTGATCTGGAGAAGCGGGAGAGGACCAAAGATGATTAGTGACAGCCTGGCTTGTGCAAGGTGCAAGGCCCCCCCTGAAATTTGACGAATGAGAACAGCTGTCCCTTTTGTGGGTCACGTAGCAATCAATTTCAGCGGGGGCTGAGACTGCAGGGCATTGGTATTATCTTCGTTCCTTGGGGCTGCACTGCATATTTAAGACAATTGCTCCGTCAATTCGTGCTGCTGAAACATTTGCACGCTTGGCATTGATGAATTCCATGACAAGTTCGTGATTCTGCTTCTGTGGGGTCCAAGGCTAATGGTCAAGGGAAATGCCCCGCCAACTGTAAATGCGCTTGAGATGAATGGACAACATGTGAAATTGTGAGTGAAACTCAATGACACGCTGGAGGTCACCAGTTAATTGACCTCGAAACGGGTCGAAGAGTGCAAAACACTCGACGCCGAACTAGTCGTAAATAAATTCGTTAATCATTAAGAGCCTGGCACCCAATCCCTCTGCCACTCTGTTGTTGTCCCGGGTAGGTGACACGCGCAAAAATGACAGCCAGTAGGTACTAGGTATACAAAGCGGTGAACGACAAAAAAGATGTGGATAATGGTGGAGTCAAACCACCAACGTTGGACGAACAGGGAATCGAACCCTGGACCACTCCCAAATAACGCTCGTTGAGAACATGCTAAGGGAGTATTATACCACTAAACCATTCGCCCGAATGGATAATAGATAGACCCCAACCAACCTCTAGATTCCCCTGCTGAGATCCTGGTGTCCTGAACTTGGCTCCAGTAACTTTGCTCGCCGTGATGCTCGACATCATCTCATTGGGATAAGATTTTTCATAGTCAACAACATTTTACTTATCCATAGTCTGGAGCACCATGGAAACTCATCAGAGTATGTAAATGGCCTCAATAGTCACGCCAATACACATGTGTTTTGTCCAATGCCATTGTCCACAGCCCTTGGTCTACAGGCGATAGCTGTTGAGATGTCTCCAATGGCGCAAGGAGTAGCATTCTACCCCAACTCATGTCCAGATCCTCACTTTGCAGATAGATTATCTGTAAGATGGTCTAGTGGGATCATCTGAGGGAGATGTCGCTCCTAGAAAACGAAGTGATCGAGTGTCATTCGTAGCTTCATTAACACTAGCGACAATCTTCAGACACAGCCAGCAGGCAAAAATACTGTACAAGCAAAGAGAATCCAAATCATGCCAAGCTATAGATATCATCTTTCGTAGAGCTCATGAGATGCTTATAACATTCTGAATCAACTATTCGTATTGTGTTTATAAGAAACTTGCTCGTGCACGTTCCTGAAAGCTCTGCAGCTGCATAAGTGGACGTCACTGAATATGGTGGCTGCAGCAAGGCCCACTCCTGTGGGTAAGTCTCTGTGGTTCAAATATTTATCTATGTATTCCAAAATTCCTCTCCAATCTCCTCCTTCTTCACCTCCATCCCTCAGTGTCCAGCTCACAGTCTCACCATGGATCCTCCTGTCAGAGGCACACGAGTAAGTTCTCTCGTCTCTGGACTCGATCCAACCATATTAACACATTCTTTTTTAGCTGGTTCCTGGAAAGAAATCTTTCCTGGATCTCGCTCCAGAGCTGCAGTCGATGATCATGGAATTTCTCATTCTCAGTATCTGCCCTCTCACCGTTCCCTGCGATGCAAAGACAAAGTACGGCCCTATCACTTCTGCCGGTGAACAGAGTCTTCTCAACCTCAAGCTCTCATGCCGCATGATCTACAATGCAATCAAAGAGAAGCGGTTCGTCGAGGCTTTCACGATCGTTCAGCCTCAGCCGCATCGGCATGAGTGGCATCCCTCGCAAGGCGCTATCATCTTTCCACCCTCTCGCAAGGCTTTCACCATCGACCCTTTCCGCGATATGCTGCGAGTTTGGGACATGAAGCTGCCTCACTTTCAACCCTTGTCTGACAACATTCTCATCGAGAGACTCCTCTCTGTTTGGTGCGACCAGCCCATCCACCAGTGTTCCTCAAAGTTCGATAGGGCAGACTATCCTGGAGACTCTCTAAAGCTATGGCGACAGAAGTTCCAGGGCCGAACCAACCCTGATGATCCTCGTACTCGTCGTCCTGATCATGAGTTGTCGGACCAGGACCGCCTTATTCCCGACCTCTGCCTCGGCAAACTAGCCTTCCTTAGGGAGCTCTACATTGTTGCAAAGAAAGTCCCAAGTGACTAGTGGATTCCGGGCTTTTGCTTCGATGAGCGCTTCCGAGTGACCGGAGACCCTCCTACCAACGACATTGCTCCTGGACAGCACATTGGCGAGGTCTGGAACAACGGCGCCACCTTCCCTTCTCCTGGTCCTAACGAGTATCTCTGCCCTAACAGCGGTGCTATGGTGCCTTTTGAATCTCCAGCTCGGCCCCTGGTCGGCCTGTACGGTTACGACAAGACCGAGACGACCCGCGGCGGTTTCTGGGCCGGCTTTCTCTACTACCAGCTGAAGAAGGAAGTATGGTTCTCGCCACTTTCTGCCCTCGAGATCCGTGACGCAACGACTGTGCCGGTTGCGGACAAGCCGGAGCGCAAGCTCTTCGAAGGCACTCATTCAGACTTTGTGGCTCGCGTCTGGATCATTCGTGGAGACCAAGATCTGCCTCCCGCTCAGCCCCACCATCGATGGGTCAAGGTCAAGAGCGACCAGCCCGGAGATCCTCGCTACACCGGAGAGATCGAGCTCATGTGGTCCATCGTCGTGGACAGAGTCCTCGGACAAACTCTAGGCGAGACCCCTTACGAGCTCCGAGTTCACAGAGAATGGCATGCTGGAGTAAGCCATTGGCGAGATCGCTCATAGGGGCAAGAACATGGATGCGGATCGGGATGGATTTGGCAGTGGACGGGTGGATGCTCTAGGATGGTGTCTTGTAAAGAAAATCGAGCTTTTATAATCCTATAGCTAGCACCGTGGTTTCTCTGAAACCACAATAAACATATCCCTTGCCGACACTACCATTCTGCAACAAGAATGATTGGCCTTAAGTGAACCATGCCAAAAATGCAATTACAGTATAGTTGCATGTCTTTACCACTCTGTTCACAAGACAAAAAACATACAACAGCAGGTATTCGCTGGTCGTCTCCGACCCAACTACTAATCCACCCCTTGCGGGCTTGACTAAGGGAGAGCGGACGGGATCCCGTACTTTACCGCAGGTATGGTCGTATGTGGTTGAAGGCATCGTGGATGGGGCTCAAATTGGTGCCTGCGTGGTTGTTTGCCAAAGACAGATTCCGGAGAGGAGGACAAGGCGGCGGGGCTTCACTTTAGTAACAAACTACGAACCAGCATCAACACAAAGAAGAGTCTTTTCAAGATCACCAGATCAAAAAGGCTTGGATATATACTGGCAAAACCTTGGACCAGTTTTAAAATAAGCAGGGAATTTGATACTGCTTCGAGATACTTGTATCTGCATAGTCTGGTCGGAGAAATTCAACAAACGGAGAGGCTCGGTTGTCACAACTTCTTATGAATTTCTCAAGCTCTCTGTAAGAACAACTTGATTTCGCACCCCTCAAACTTGCTATACCGGATATATCAGACTTCATGCTGACTCAAACACTTCACAGGACCATCCAAACAGCCATGATACCGCCCAAAAGCCCACCGACCGAACCCGCTGTCTTCATGTTCGAGTCATTGCCCGTCTGGGAAGAACTCGCCGCAGCACTGGTTTCAGAAGCCGTCTGCTCTGCGCTTCCCCCGGTACTTGTCTTGGTGGCCGTATCCTTGGCGCTATCACCAGTTGAAGTTGCGGACGACGAATCGTCGGTAGCTGATGCCTCTGCACCATTCAGGTACCTCGAGCTTGCACTCTTGACCCGCGAGTCATAGTCCGATGCTGAGACAGGGATCGTGGTGTAGCAGCTCATTGACTTGGGTTCCCAAGAACTGCCTGTGCAGATAGGCCATCCTTGACATGTGCTCAGGTCAAGCTTGCCACCAACGCAGCAATACGCTTTGTTGTCGGAGGGATTGTTGAGTACGCCAGGACAGTTCTTGTTGTTTTCACCAGTAATGATGGTAGTCTGTGCCAGGATCCCTTGGATCAGGCATGCGAGGCTAATCGAGGAGAGAAGCATGGCGAATTCAGAATTTGGATAAGGTGTTGACAGATGATGCTTCAATTGGACTCGGAGTGGAATGCTCAACGCTGTTTGAGACCTTGAGTATGCTCAATTTGTCATCTTCAGAATCCGGAAGCCATCGTTATTTATATATGTCTGGGCCCTGGATTGAGGCTTGTGGCTTGAGGCCATCTTGTCAGCAACGTCCCAATCAGAACAACTCAGTGTCGTTTCCCCGCATGACCGTGGATTTGTCTGAACCAAGGAACTCGTATTTACACTTTCGATGATGATCCTCGTTCTAAAATCTTATGATGCAACGCTTTTACTTTGTTCGGGCCAAAGCTGTAGACGAATTGACCTTTTTGGACACCAAGCTGAGGCAAGTCCCGGCATCGACCAGCCGATATTCCCCCAACGATGGATCTAGCCACATTCGGTATTTCAGAGAGACACCCCTGCGATCCTTCAATGGAGCAAACCTTAACAGAGGCCAGCTCGGCATGCTCAGAAGGGTAAGTGACAGGTATCGTGACGTAAATGTCTCATATTCCTTGGGGCTAGTTGATTGTCAAAAGGCCCTGAAGAGCAATAAAGGGTCCTGATTACCCCGATGATATGGCTGTTGATCGACACTGGAACAAGATCTTTACTGGGATGTCGGCACTCTCGGATACCCTACGATATTCAGCTGAGAAACAGAGTACCAATTGAGATTTGTCAATGGCTGTCTGCCCCTACAGTTCTAGAACCTCCACATCGCCAAGCGAATCCCTTGACTGCTCCACGCCTTGAGAAGCCACGTCCCCTCCAAACTAACTGCATCCGTAGCATGGCGTCCTAGCGTCTGATCGCTTTCCCTACGGGGTATTTCAAGACCTTGCCCCCGTCCAACCTTTACCCATCCTGCAGCCAAGCTTTGTCTTTCGCAGCCCTACGAACCCGACTCTGTGGTTTCGTTTCCGATCTAACCTGTTTTCTATTCTTGTTTATTAATACTTTTATCCTCTGTTTCATTTGTTACACGTCTCCACATGACTCGACACGGAAGACGTATAAAGCGGTGCGGCACTTGTGTTGAGCGCAAGGTTAAATGCGGTATGTCGGTGATGGGTGTTGAGTGGTTTTATGGAACTGACCATTGATAGATGAGCAGCAGCCCCATTGCCAACGATGTAAAAATGCGGGTCTTGCATGTTCGGGGTATCATAGTCAACTAAAGTTTGTCGACGAGGGGACTCGGTTCGTTTCGACTACTGCTTGTCCTTCTCAGGCTGTTTCGAAATCTGCGACATCGCAATGCAGTCGTCTCGTCAATGGCAGAGCTTCAACAAAATGCCCAAAGAACCCTAAGCCTCAAATCGTCACCCTCATACCGCAGAAGAATACTCTGTTCTTCCCCTACACTTTGTCAAAGTTATCATCAGAAGACTTGCGCTGCGGGCCAGGACTGGGTCCAGGAATACTTTCCGAGCTACTGACGAGCCAGCACTCGGAACTACATCAATCATGTGTCCAGGCGTTGGCTGCGATGTATTTTGGAAGAACGAACCGGGACAGAAATGCCTGTGAACAAGGGCTACGGCTGTACTCCCATGCACTGACTCAGCTTCGGACGGACATCAGCAACTCAAATACCGAAATAGGCACCCTAATGAGCATCATGTGTCTTTGTGTGTACGAGAACGTCGTCTTCTCTCAACCGACGGCTTGGCTCCTACATTATGATGGCCTAGGAAGATTAGTAAGTCCTTTGACGGCGGGACTTTGACCTTTTGCTCACGCAGACTCCTAGATGCAAGCACGAGGTCCCAAACCGTGGAGATCTCCAGCAGAAAGGCAAATACTGCAAGCGGCACGGTACTACATTGTAAGCTCTTGTCACCTCACGGGGGTATTGGCGAGGAGTTACTGACTGAATGCAGACCCTCTCCGCTGGTCATCAACGCCGCCATTGTTTCCTCGACCAGCCTCAATGGGAGAGCACAAGATGCCTCCCGGAAGGTGAAGCCCCAGATAAGATCGATATCCTGTATGACATTTTTGCCCAGCCGCCTGGGATCATTGCGGATTATGACGATATACGAAAAGCAAGTGTGACGAACCCTGCTGCAGTTGAAGTTTTGCGAAACAGGACACAGTCACTCATCGACAAATTGCATGAATGGTACCGGGACATGCCATGGGTATGCACCACAGATCCAGTCATGAGGGAGAACAGCGGTATGCCTCTTCCGGATGACCCCATGGAATGTGTCGCCCTCGCAATCAGCTACGCCATGCTTTTATGTCTTGTCCAGCCTTGCGAATACTTGGGTATATCACTCTTTCCGGAGAACATGGAAGCTACAAGCAATATCGACCAAAACTCGAAAAACAAGTTCTTGGCCCTGGAGATTTGTCGCTTCGCGAACTGGGCGCTTCGTGGTCAAGCGTCGGCGAGCTACGCCTTGCTGTTGGTCTACCCACTTCAAATAGCATGGTTCTGCGTGCAGAATAGTGAGGAGGACCTCCGTAATGTTAGAGTCATCATGAACTCGGTTGTTGCGGATTCGTATGGTTTTGAGTTGGGGAGGATGAGGCATTGGGATGAGACTAGTCTGGATCAAGGCCGGTATGGCTTTTTGTATTGATGATAATTGGAAAAGGATGCTACGTTAAACATCCTCATGTTGATTAAAACGAACTTTTTTTGCGCATTGCAGCGCTGAGCTGACATGGTGCTTTGTAATTATCCGCTGGCCTGACTCTGGGGATGCGCCGATTGCTCAACTGTCGCGTTTCGATATCTAAGCGCCTTTGCCATATCGACACTGATTGATTGGTTACAGGAAACATGAGATTTCAAAGCATGCGGCTCTGCTGATTGCCCCCAAATAACATCGACGTATGTGGCTGTATCGCCAAACCTGGCATGACCCCTGCAATGTCGTCAATCTGCTTCCCTCTTTGCGTGGCGATGCACGACACAGCAAATGCTCAGCCCTAGGCTACACCACACCACAAAAGAGATCAACGAAGCAGGCCATCTCGTTCGGAAATATGGTGGGCTTAGCCCCCCAGCCAAGGCAACTCCGTCGGAAACGGAGGTCCGCTACTGATTAACCAGCGTCTTTGACTGGCTTCACCGACCTCAAGATCCACTGATCCTACAAGGCTGATATGCAGCCTTGCTTACGCCCAGCTATCTTATACACATTTGGAAATCGCGCTTATGGCCCGAAACAGTCCAATGGAGCGCCCATGTCGATGTAAGCACCCGTTTCCCCGCCCAATTTAATTTCACGGTCAATCCCTCTCTTTTCTGTTGATGTGGCGTCATTATAATAACTTTATTCCCTTCTTCTCAGATACAGGCGCGCGTGTAGACGTTGAGTTACGAAAATGTCGGAAAAGAGACCCATCAAGCGACTCGTGGTGTTGGTAGACGGAGTTGAGGCCCAGGAAAGCAAAAGTGAGCATTTGCCTTGGCGTCAAGGATCATTGCTGATTGATAGCAGAGGAGACGAACCCTTCAACGATTCAGAGGATCAACCAATTAATACACGATGGGCTAGTCGAGTCGAATGGAGTTTCTGTTGCGCAGATTCCCAAGTATTATGTTGCACCCAGCAATGTTGTCAAGTTGAGCGACATGTTCCGATCACGGAGCACGACAAGTGATGACTCGACAAATCTCACCAAGACCATTGTCAAGGACATCTGTCTTGCACTTGAGCGGCCAGAAGATGAGCTCTGGCTGTACGGTTCTGGACACGGAGCCTTCATCGTTCGCGCAGCTGCTGGCATCGTGCATCGCATGGGTCTGCCAACAACGCAAAATTTCGATGATCTGTTTGATACAGCTCTTGGCCTGATCAAGGCTCAACTTGAAGATGACTTCAAGCGAGGCCCGGTGCTACTGCAGAAGATCAAGAGCGAAGCGCAAGACCCTCCTCGAATACCGTTTGTTGGTCTTTTTGACACGATCATTCATAACTCAAAGACATCCTACGACATCTCATTCAACCCTTCTATCGAAACTCTTCGACAAGCGCTTGCCATCAACGAGAACAAGTCCAACAAGACACCGGAAGTGGTCAGCATTCCTGACGA